TACATAATAAAGAAAAAGAGACAGCCCCAAACATTTGATTCCACAGGAATCCCTTTTCTGGGCTTTCCCTTTTTTTTGGGATTTCCCTTTTCATGTTTTTCTTTTTTTTCCCCCTTGCGGTTGTAACTTTGCCAGCGGCAGGATAATTGCGGGGACTTGACTCCTGCCGCTGACAAAGGGTGCAAAGAGGGTCCTTGGCTGATTGGGAGATTAAAATTTAATAAGATTATAAAGTCATTTCGGGCTCGTCTCTCTGTCTGTCTCTATGCCCTGACTTGGGGGAAGTGTTTCTGCGTACTGTGTGTGTGTGGTGTTCTTAAATAACTACATTGTAATTATATTTCACACCCTCAATCAGCAAATAGAGTCTCTGGCAAGGAATACCTGTCGAGGAATGACTTCTTGTGTTCTTATAAATATTGAAAAATAATCAAGGCTTCAATATTGACAGCTGCTGAAACACCATAAATGAGAATTAAAACATGTAATCTATTTCCAAAAAGAAAGTATTTGATAGAAGTTATTGGCCAACAGATATGGAACTCCTTCCGCTTGAAGTACTTCTTTGCTTTCAAAAATGTGGAAGCTTCAATTTCGTTTAAAATGCGGTTTGTGGGATGGTCTAACCTGCTGCTGTATTTCGCTATTCCCTCCTTCCTGGATCGCCTGCTGTCGCTTTTTCATGCTGATGACTTTGAGTTGGCAGGATATACACTCACACACACACACATACAGAGTTGCCGCCGCCATGATGGGTCCTTTGATGTTGCCGTTCATTTCCCGTTTCCGGCGAAAGCGTGGAGAGCAATGCCCACTATTCCCAGGCGCTTGGCCAATGACCACTGCATCCTTTGGACCAGTGCAGCGTGCACCGTGCACCATTTACCCTTCACCTTTCACCCCCCCCATGCCATTAGGACACACATCCACACACACACACACAGAGTTATATAGCGCATTCCATTCCCCATAGCCATAGCCATAGCCATAAAACCATGCACACCATATCCCACATCCTGGTGGAGCAGCAAAGGACAAACGGCTTTGTGAACCATTGTCCTGGCCCTGTGTGTTCCCTGCTGAATTCACTTGGCCCTTTTATGCGGCCTTTGAGCGTCAAAGCGCGAACAGGACGAAAGGACACTTCACAGCCGGAGGTGAACACTCGCCAGTAAGTGGCGAAAAAAAGAAATGTGGGGAAGAAAAGAATCAGTTAGAAAAGAACTAAGCAATTGTGCCTACGAATTCAAAAAAAAGAACTTAAGAAAGGTGCTTATACATTTTATGCTTTACTATTTATCCCTCTAATTTGTTTTATAAATGCTATACAGCTCTTAAAGTCTATTATATAACGAGTTGAAATTCATAATATTTTATATTCTAAACGTTAACAAAAAGGGGTCTTAAAATGGTTTATATTATATGATTTGTAATATGAATAATATTATACAAAAATTCAAAGCTTGCAGTTTGCACTTCAGATCGAATAGAAATTCAATCATAGCTCTAAATATTCGCTTTCTTTGAATCGATTTTTCGACAAATCAAAGTTTAAAAAACTCATATCTTAGTCAAAAAAGCATTAATTTTAATTCGAAATGCTTTCCCATGTTAGTTTTTGTTAGGTTAACAAATCTGCGTATTCAGTTTAAATTGTAAAAAAAATACATTTTTTTGTCAAGTTTTAAAATTTTCAACCCCCTTTAAAACTATGAAAATTTAGAAAAAAAATACATTTTTGTCAGGCATAGCCAGATCGCTTCGCCTGTTGATGCTGATCAAGAATATATATCATTTTTGGGGTCGGAAATGACTCCTATGTGAATTACAAGCTTTGGACTGAAATTACAATACTATTTTTGTATCGATACTTCGATATTTTTAATGACTATTTGTTCTACAAATTAAAGCCTTAAAACCTCATATCTTTGTCAAAAATGCATTAATTTTAATTCGGAAAGCTGTTCTGTTCTAGCTTTTAATAGGTTAATAAATCTGCGTACCCAAATTACACCTATAAACTATTTCAAAATTTGTCGATTTTTCAATAAGTTAACAATGGAAAAAAACGACAATAAAATTGTCCAAAAATATTTTCAAAAATTTGTTCCTCTATTTTATACCCAGAAAGATCCGCCGGTTTATGCTGATCAAGAATATATATGGAATATAGGGTTGCAAATGACTCCTTCACTTATTTTTAAGCTTCTGACTGTAATCACAATACCATTTTTTTAATCGATATTTCGATATTTTTATATGACAATTTATTTTACAAATAAAAGCCCAAAAGACGCATAACTAAGCCAAAAATCCTATAATTTCGATTCGGAAAGCTGTTCTGTTCTAATTTTTCATAGGTTAATAAATCTGCATACTCAAATTTCCTTTTTAAAGTATTTCAAATTTTGACGATTTTTCAATATGTTAACATTGATAAAAAAAGAGCCTAAAAATGTTGAAAATTTTTTTAAAAAATTTGGTTCTCTATTTTATGGCTAGAAAGATCCGCCTGTTTGTGCTGATCAAGAATATATATGGATTATAGGGTCGGAAATGACTTTTTCACAATGTTTCAAACTTCTGACTGATATGATAATAGCCTGCAAAGTGAAAATAACATTATACAAAAGTTCTATTTCCTGATGTCAATTTTACATATAAATATTATATTCGCCAAGTTTTAAAGGTTCCAAGTCCAACCCTTTTATGCATTTTACTTCTCGCTTTCCCACATTTTAAATTGAGCTTTCACCAAATGGAATAAAGTGAAAAATAGAAAAAAGAGAACCTCTCTGATAGTCAATGGTGCGGAAGCGAGATTTATATAGAAGGAAGCCTTGGGGCAGGAACCGGGGAGTCGTTGAAGATGGAGCCGGTGCCTGGAGGAGCGAAGGAGGCTGCTGCTGCCACATAATTCAATTAGTTATAGCCGTGCTTATTTTGCTCGGCTTCCTTTGCTCCATAACCCGTGGCATGTGGCATGTGCCATGTGGCATGTGCAACATGTGTGGGTACACCAGTCTGTTGCAGCAATTAAACGGGAATTTCATTTCGACGACGACGCCAGCCAGTTGCCGCAGCAACAGGAGCAGCAGCCGAAGCAGGAGGAGTTGAACATAACAGTAAATGGCAACTGGGAAGGACATCGAGGATACCCATCACTCTGCAAAATAAATAATTAAATAAAGGGAACTGCGTTTGGAAACGTTTGAGGCAACTGCAGAATAAATAACACCAAAAATAAATAACGTAAAACATATAAATCATACAAATCAAAGGGAATGTTGCACATATTTGCAGAGTTGAAATCTGATAAAGGTGATTTTTAATATCACAAAGTTCGGTTCAATTATTTAACATGACTTCTTCTACTTAACAACCTAATTATATAGTAAAGGTAGTTTATTTACCACTTAAAACTTAATCAAATCTACTTCGTTAAAGGCTCATATCATAAAGTCAATCTACCTAATGAAATATGAGTTGTTTCACATTACTTATTATTATTAATCTAAAGCAGAAATATTCCCAATCGAAGGGTTAACCTCTTAAGGTCTCATAGTCTTCCCCTAGCCTAAGCAATCTGTTCTATGCTCCTGTAGGGAGTACTCCTTTTTCGGGAAGTGCACGGAGCAAGAGCTTAAATATATACTCGGTAAATGCATAACGGGAAAGAACAATAAGCAAATCGTTAAGATTCGCAAACTTTTCGGAGTACAATTGCAGTGAGGCAGTGAGGCACACCTGCCCCATAACACAACAACACCCCTCCCCCCCAGTCGTAGCCACTCGCAGATACTTCAGAGTTTCCGGAGGGAGGGGAATCGTAGTTTTTCACCGTTTTTCACGGCATTGCAGGTGCTGGAAAAATTACACTGCCATTGGAATTTGCAGAAAACTAACTTACTAACGTTTTTATATTCCAAATATTAAATTGATACTCTTAATAGTATTGATTTATTATTAATTAGAAAGAAGTGTAATAATTATAATAGAATTGGATGATATCCGATGAATACAGACAGGACTCTTGGTACTACTCCTTGGGTTTACTTTTACCGACATTTTCTGCTCCTACTTTCTTGGCACTTTCTCCTTGTCTAGAAAACTTTACCTGTTCTTCGGTTGCCTTCTTTTACTTTATATATTTGTATGCTCTTAAGGTGTGGGCGTAGCTGTAGGTGTGGACTGCACGTCGTTTGCATTTGTGCCAGGACTCACAAGGACCCTCGTCCTCGTCCTCGCCCACATCCACATCTCCTCCCATGTGTGGGTTCAAGCTTATGACTTAATAAATACTCCCCAGCGTGCGCAATGTGGCTGGCAATTTAATAACAAAGGCAAACGGCATTGGAATAAAAAGCAAAGCATGCCCAGGACCTGGCAGGACCTCCTCCATGCATGTGGCAAGGAATGCCTTTGATTTACTCCGCGGTGCAATCCTGTGCAGTGCAGTGCAACAAATATTTGCAAGGGGAGTGGAAAATGGAGAGTGGAATGCACACTGCAAATATATATAGTATTCAAGGTGTATATATATATTAGACTATCGCCAAGGGTTTCAATTCAATTGTCAAAGGACCTTGGCCTCGTCGGAGTCTCGAGCGAGTAATCCGTTTATCACGGCCACCAATGGATTGCCCCGATCCAAGCTAAACCCACCTAAGTCAAGCCCAAGCCACTTGTTTTCCTTGGGCTCCCTCTGACAGCCCAAATCCTTGGGATATACGCCGCCATTGACACTCGCCTTCATGGCGTATCCCTAAATGCGAGAAAGAGATTATTTTTTTGAGCACAAACTGAACTGGGTTTACCCAGGCTAACTAAGTGAATTATATTAGATTCCGATCAAAAATCAGTAGAGAAATAATTGAAAAATAAAGTTTACACTTGGAAAGTATTTCTAAGTGCTCAGAAAGCTTGAAATACATTTTAAAACAAATTTACTACTTAAAACTAAGTCAACAAAATACGAATCAAACAAAATCAGTCCACATTTAGTGATGATAGACGGGGGCAGGTGCGGCATACGCAACAGCCTTGACAATGGCCTTGGCCACCAGGGGCTCCCTGTTGACCACGGCATTGAAACCATTAACCGGATCCGAGGTATACTGGACAATCCGCTTGAAGCCATCGGCATCGATCAGGGAATACTCGCCGCGGACCACATCCCCGTCGCGCTCCTCCACCTGGCTCTTGGAGTCACCGGACAGCGAGTCCTGCACATCGTAAGCGAACTTGTACTGAGGATGGGGATCGTACTCCTCATCGGCCTTGGCCAGGACAGGATGGGCCACCGTCTTGACGATAGCAGCAGGGCCGGGAAGGGGCACAGGAGCAGCATAGGTGGCCACTGGTGCAGGAGCTGGATGATACACCTGGGCGGGGGGCAGGACACCAGCACTGGCGGCAGCAATTAGAGCCAGGAGAGCCAAGAACTACAGGGAAATAGTACAACATTTTCGTTTAATTATTTGTTTTTTTATATTATTTAAATACTATTATCCATTTCCTATTTATATTTCTCTAATATCTCTTTGCAATCCCACCTTGAAAGCCATTTTGGTAGTTCAGTTTTTGTAACTTTAAGCCTCGAGTTGTTAACAAACCGAAAGGCAGGTGCTGTGTGATAAGAAATGGCTTACTTGCAACCCATTTATAGCCCAAAGTAGCTCCGGCCAAGCCCAAATAAAGTGCCCCTCAAGGCCAATTGTACACACTTCGTCACAAAATAAAAAGCATGCAAAAAAGTGTATACAAATAATAATGATACAAAAAATGCCGCATGTAATTTGACATTCAATTTGAGTTGCAGAAAAAATAACAGGCCAAAACTGGTTTGTGGTCCACATTTTTTTGGTAATCATCAAACTCATGGAGCTGCGGCCTGGCCAAATTAATGGTCATTGTTGTTCTCTGGCTGTGACATAAATTCAAAGAGCTGAAGCTGCAGAAAAATATAATGTTTAATGTACATACCTGTCCCATGTAATATTCAGGCGTTGTTTTGGGAAAGATTTGGGAATTGCACTCGTTTCTGGGCATGTCATCTTTGGAAGGAACATCTTTTGGGGTTTGGGAATGATGAGTCACTACACATGAGTGTCCCTCAATGGGAATGTTTATAATATAAGTGACTTTCGGGAGGGAGAGCAGAAGGAAGGGAAACAGGAGCAGCAGCCATCACATTAATGTTTTAGGAGCTTCAAATGGAAACAAGGAAACATAACCAGGCTACAGGATACAGGGATGCATAGATTTTAAGATATTACTAGACAGGAAAAGAATACATAAACCCTTTGAAAAATCTTTAAATTACCACAACTATTTATTAATAAAATTAATTTATATAGTTTCTCGAACGTTCAATCTGGTCTATCCCACTTATGGATTAATAGGAATTGAATATTTATGAATATATTGCAAACATTGCAACTAAAATAGGTAGAAAAGTAATATAAAATAATAAACAATATATCTTAAATAAATATTCCTCAGCTTGTTGACCCCGCACTTACAATCTTGACTTGAAACATCAGCTCCCAAGGCTTGTTAGCTCAAGTATAAATTTCTTTTTCGGTTGCCAGCTTGACCCAGTTTCAGGAATTTAGGTCCAGCACATGACAGCTGTTGAACCTTTCCTCCTCCTCTACGAATTCAATTGCAAATATAAGGGGATTCCGGAGGGGGAAACAGCGAACTGACCCCTTTTCTCCCAGTGTAGGCGTAGGCCTCCTCCTTGGCTAATGGTGTAAATGGTGCGGAGCCGCCTCGGCTAAATATCCGTTCTATCAAATTCAATTAAAGTTGACATGGGTTCACAGCTGCAGCCGGGATGGATTGGGCCAAAGGCGGAGGAGGTTGCTCCTGGAAGCTGAAAGCTGGAACCTGGAACCTGTCAGGTTGCCCGGCTCCTCCATCCACCTGCCTGCCTGTGTAGCCATTTTTTGAATCAATTTCCAGCGACAAGCACACGCTGCTCCCCGGAATCAAAGGAAATACTTACACTCCGGCAGATGGATTAAGGGGAAAAGGCGGCTCCATAAAGTGGCCAACGCCCAGGAGTAATAAGACAAACGGAAAAGCGTCGTCCGAGGAAATTCGGCGAGGGGCGGGGAGGAAAAGGAAAAGGTTCGCCATGCCACAAGGCTTTTCACTTTTTCAGCTTTTCGTATTCTGCAAAACGAGAGTATCACCGACTTTCTAAGGAGTTTGTTAGGGGAAAATGAATATTAAACAAGAAAGTACTGTTGATGTTTAAACAATTAATAATACTCCTTAAATGAGAACGTCCTCTAAGATAGTTATTTTCATTTAAGAAGCTCAGAAAAACACATCATTCTGGTTTCAAATTCTCCCATTCGAGTTTAGCTAAAAACTATTTAATGATGAAGACTTTTACACACAAATTCCCTTATATTTTCATATTTTACTCTTCTTGCTTCTCTAAAATATATTTAATTTAATTATTCTGCTTAAAACTTTGCTACTTTTTTTGTAGCTTAAATAAGCAAAACTTATTTTGTTTTAGGGAAATTTCCAAAAATTGTTATGTTGGAGTTGCATTAAAGTTGCAAGGGCATGAACATTTTCGCCCTGTCGAAAGTTGGCCCCCATTTCTCGGAATCATTCTTTTTTTTGTGCTCGTTCTTTTTTGGGGCAATTGCGACGCTGTGTTGCTCAAATTAAAACACAGACACACACACAGAAAAACACACCCAGTGGGGAACCCCCTTTCGACGGAGAAAAAAGGGCTGGAAAATTTGCAACTGCCTCTCAGTGCGGTGGCAGCTCAACTGAATTTCTGGCTGCTGGCTGCCGGCTGCCAAGTCCGGGCAATTGTGAGATCGAGCCAGGGACATGCACTCGGGTCACGGCTTCAAGGACCTCCCCCATCCCCCCTCCTGTATTTCCGGTAAGACCCCACCACCCCCTTCGGTTGGCCTTCTGTTGCTGCTCGCTGAGTGTAAATTTGCTCGTTAAATTTGTTGGCACTCTCGACTAATTTGCACTTGTAACGCAATGGTCTGGAGGGGTTAGTGGCAGAGGCGGATGCAGAGGCGGAGGCCGAGGCCCCTTCAAGGGGTCGTTGGTTTTGGCTAGAAGAAGGGGTTGCTGCTTTGCATCATGGCTAATTGAAAAGACGATGGCCCGAGGAGGCCAGCAGGAGCCTCCTCAGCCTCCTCAGCCTCTTAGCCTTTCCTTTCCTTTCCATGGCGTTGGCCCACTTGAAGTCCGCAGAGCTAAATAGCCTCAAGCAGCTCTGCTTTGCCGATCGGAAATGTGTGCGCAGAAAAATAAATCGAGTATTTAGCACTTGCAAACTGCAATTAACAACATTAAAGTTTACCAGGGAGCAGCAAAAAAAAGAAGTCTGGTTAAATCTTCAAAAATAACAAACCTAGGGGAAGTTTAGCCAAGATTATATGAAGACTGTTGATATAGTATTATAAACAGGTAATAATATCTAATCTAATAATCTAATTTTAGAGTAAATTGTGATATAAGTCTATATAGTTTAACTTTGATTGCAATGTATGTGCAATAAATTGAGCTTAAACTCAGTTTCAGCTTCCAAGGTTAGAAATAAGTACAAGGAATATATTACAAATTTAATAATTACATTATATTATTACAAAAACAAATAATTTATATAAATAATTTCGAAATATTTTAATGCCCTTTCAAGGTGTAACTATTTTAGAAGGATGTTTCAAAAGCAGTGAAGGAGTCATTTGCGACCCTATATTCCATATATATTCTTGATCAGCATTCACAGGCGAATCTTTCTGGGTATAAAAGAACGAAACAAATTTTTGAAAATTTATTTTCACAATTTTTGTAGCCTTTTTTTCATTGTTAACATATTGAAAAATCGACAAAAATTCAAATAGTTTATAGGTGTAATTTAGGTATGCAGATTTATTAACCTATTCAAAACTAGAACAGAACAGCTTTCCGAATCGAAATTAATGAATATTTGGCTGAGTTATGTGTTTCTTAAACTGTGATTTGTACAGTAAATTGTCATAAAAATATCAATAAATATAGTTCAAATAATGCGAATATATGTATTCAATTTTCTTTGTGATCGAATTCCGATTGTATCCTATTATTAAATTGCAAACTGCAAGGGTACATACATTTCTGCTTCCGTAAGTTAGTTTCCTATCTTATTTTCGATTACTTAAAACATCTGCTCTAAAAACATTGAAATAAAACTTTACAAACTGTGCATAAAGTATCAATTTAGATATAAAATTTAAATAAACAAAGAATACATTTTCAAACATAATTCAAGAGTTTGTTATATATATTAATTTCTGCCAGTGCACATTACAAGGACACTTTGTATGCAGGTCAGAACAGGATACAGACCGAGGTGGAAATAGAGACAGAAACAGAAACAGAAACTAAAATAGGGACTAAAACGCTGTGCCCAGACATGCGTATGTAAATGTTAATCAATGCGAATCATTGGGCACAGGACGACAAGTTCATAAATCCAGCGATGGCTCCTGGCTGCTGGGTGCAGGTAGTCCTGTCGGTGGATGGTGGATGGAATATGAATAATTGGCCCGCATTAGCAGGCATTGTTGTTTCGTCAACGGGAAATCAGTTGGCAGATTAATCGTGCGGCATTCATGGCCAAAAGCCCAAAAGGCGGCCGGGAGAACTGATTGATGTTCGGTGTATATTGAGTCGATGAATGCGAAACGAATGCAGTTTCGGGGCTTAGCAAGGAGTATCCGAGTCAGGAGGAGAACCAACATAGAACCTGGAGATGGAGGAAGACCGTGTTGCCTTGTTGGCCCTCGACTTTGGCGCTCATTATTATGCAGCTCATGAGTCTCGTTAGTGGCAAAGTTATATGAGCATACATCAGCCATGCCGCACAACTTTGCAACACCCGCAGGAAGTCCTAAACTGGGGGGCACAGCACAGATCCTGGCAGTCCCAGCATCCCAGCATCCCAGCATCCTGGCTTCCGAAGAGGGAGACCCTGCGCGGTGTCTAGCAAAGCGGAAAGTGTTAAGCACAATGAAGTAAATGCTGCCAACTTCTGACATCGCTGGGATCTCCCTCAACTTAAATCCGAAATGTGGCCAAGCCCAGGCGCTAGGGGAGCATTTCGCAACCTAGCAGCTCCTCATCCCGGCATCCCTTATCCTCGCTATTCCCTGGCCCACTCAAGTCCTCGCCGAATTCGCCGCAAAATGCGTTCGAGGCGAGGCGAGGCGAAAAGTGAAGCCACGAGACGTACTTCCTTTGGCTTCTCGTTCGCCGCGGGTCCTTGTTTTGTTGTCAGCCAATCGGCCAGGATTGCCAGGCGGGGGAGGTGCACTGCAAGCAAAAGGGAGAAGTTATTTGGCAAAGATTTCAGCAGAAAGATGCCTCAGCTGAACCCAGGATAAGATCACCTCATAACAAACAAATCAATTATCAATTCCCAGACAATTCCCCAAGAGTTATGGCCCCGAAATGAACCTACCAACTGGGTAATAGTGATTCCTGGCCTTGATTTATGGCATATGGATATATGTACACATAGCCAAGTTCG